TTCGATGGCCAAGGATACAAGGGATGATCTGGAGAGACAACTAAGTTTTTGATTGCCGGTTCAAGAAGCGGGTCGTCTAAAAATACTGCTGAGTATCGGATTGTAGAGCGCAGGAAAGATGGTTAACTTACCAGGAATTTCAATACCGAAGTCAGATGCACTGTCGTCGACAAGTTCACACATTTTGTTTGTGGGAACTATGGGCGTTGAGATGGCAATGTGTCCCGAGGCAACAGACGCCTGAAGTTCAGCAAACAGGTCCGGGAATTCGCCATCAAGCTGGAGTTGTCGACTGCTGACGATCTGATTCAGAGATCCGCTAACGGATACTCAGAATCTGTCTCAGGCACCATGGACGGTCTATCAGCTTGCATGTCGATAGATGTATTATCCATGCAATCGAAATCGATGCTGAAGTTATCGTGACCAGCAGGGGAGAGTGAAGGATCAGGGCTAACAGGCGCTGCAGCAGAGACACGTGGCTTTCTGGTCTCAGAAAGCCTTTTCTTGATGTTTTCGGCACGGCGAATGTGCATATCTTGCTTTGAGTGCTTTTCAGCATGGCGGCGTGACATGACACGATAGGCGCCTTGTTTTTGAGGGCATGCGGTGCAAAAGACACGATCTGTACCGTCATCGCAGAATCGTAAAACTGTAGATACCACATAGCATTTAAATAGATAAGCAAGGAGTTGATAAAAGAAATACACATACTATAGCCGTCGATGATGTCATCAAGCATGCTGGGCAATTTGTCGAGGACAGTGTTGTGCAGCACGCTGGTGATGGATGTGAGCAATCACGTGATAGTGCACATTCAAAATTTCGACAAGTCCAATCTCTCACGCCTTCGCTATTATGATTCAAGCTGATCGTCGTTGCTTCATCGACGTCGGTATGAATTCCACATTATCACTCACCAAAGTTTCCACTATCTACCCTGGCATTCATTATACAGACAGCCATGCCTCGCTCCAACCAATGTGCCTCACTGTCTGCTTTCCCGGGACATTTCCGAGACAGATTTTGGAAAGGAGCGATATTGTATGTATCTTCATCAACTTTCCTCGAGGCTTCCTCACAAGTCGACGCTAGCCTGTCCGCATATCAGTATCTATTGATGAGGAATACGGAACATTTACCACACCAGTCATAGAGGTTGCATCGCTAGACTTGCGCCATCGCAGTGGCTTGCTACACTGTTCAGGAGGCTCGGATGATGTAAGTGTACATGACATTTGTTCAACTGTGGCCTACTTACATCATGCCAAAGTCGAATTTGTCCTCAGATATGTCTAACGTTGGCGAACCCACTATATCATTCCCCCGCTCCCGCCTTCATTCGACTATGTCAATCGAGCAGATTGGGAAACAGTCGCCCAGCGAATTCAAGAATGGGTCACCACAGAAGTAGACACAGAATCATCGCTATGGACATGGGGACGTGACGCTTTCTGGCTGGCTTTTCGTTGCTGCCTATCCGTCTTTCCCGATGGGCAAGTGGCCGATGTGGGATCCTCATATTCCACTGGAGGGATCGTTCATCGAAGAGTGGCTACAGCGTTCAAACGACTATGGCGCTGATGAGGAGGTTCTGGCCCAGGACGATGCAGTGAGTGATATCGGAAATGAATTTGTAGACACGCAGCGCTCTTCTATCCCTTTCCCCTCATTTCCCTTGGCTTGATATCTGTTTTTGTTGTCCGATTTTTAAGCCTGCCATGGTGGTCTGTCATCACATGTTAGTATGTATAGGCCAATGATACCCGTCAGTATTACTGTACATATCAAACTCTTTGTTGTATTTCAAGTATGGACCCAATGTTAAAGGTTTTGACTCGAACAGTTTGGATGACGCCTGTGTCGAAAACCACTCAACAGATCCATTTTTCGACGCTATGACGTGTGGTCTCCTGGATGTGGCAGTCAGAGGCAAAGATAGTGGGCATATTGATGGGATATCTACAAGCTATCTCATTTCTAAACCTGTCACGCATAACTCACCCCAAGCTACTCCATATGTAGCGCGTGTGATATTTGGATGAACTCTGTGTTGTGTACGTGCAATATATGACTGATTTTTATCAGACATCAGAATCATTTCCCCACTGAACAACAAATTTGCAACCTTTATGGCACAAATTCATTATTATCCACAAAACCCCAATTATAGCCAGAGTTCTGGGAACAAAACCGGGTCCTCAAAATAATTTCGCACAATATTGGTCATTGATAAACCGGCAACTGGTGGTGTATGGTGAGGTTTGTTTGGAAATTACCGAATATTACCATTTGAGTGCGATGCGTGGTCGGAAGAAATATTATGCAGTACTTACCTGTTCTCACAGGGCGAAGCCATCATTATCACCCGTGGGCCGTTGTCCGCATCAACAATCAATATGAATGTTTTCATCGACGGGTTGTTGTTATACCAGCTGCCGACAGCTCGAATTCAAGACATCTCTACACTCCAACATTTGAAACGATCAGTGACTTTATAACGTCAAATGTGCGCCTATCCAGGTTCAGTGTCACAACGACAACTGCATATCTGAGAAAAGAATCGATATTTTGCAAGCGCATAAATGATAACGTTGATGAGCTATTAAAGCCCAGATGAAGAAGCACCCCGGAAGAATTATATAGTTACAGGGGTAACGAGCGAGGTATATTAGCCTTGGTTGGATATTCCGGCTAAGCAAAGTCACCATGCGCATCCCCACATCCATCACGGTGCTCTGTACGCTCGTCGCGTATGCTACCGCACAGTGCATGGAGTGCGCATCACTCGTCACGTACAGGAACGCGACGTACAACCTCGAGGAGCAGTGTACAGTGCACAGCGGATACCATTGTTTGTGAGTGTCCTAAGTCATACAACAAGCAATTCAGAATAAAGAGGCTTACATGATGGCATGATAGTTACAGAAGCAATGACACCTCAGGGGACTTCTGCGACTGTTATTACAATGTAGGTGCAATGCTTACTTTTGAACGTGCGCGTGTAACCTGTTGAACTGGATGCAGAAAACGGGAATAGTTGAGACCAACGAGTCGACATACTTCTGTCCCACAGGGTCTTCAAATTTCAGTGCAACATGCTCTGGTTGTCCAAGTTAATTTGGTGTGGAGTCACGGACTCGATTTGGACTCGATCGGACTTTTCCCATAGCTTAGTCATTCGGCTACTAGTATTAGATGTTAACGTTGAAGTACCACAAAATCAACCAGTCGGTGCACATGCCAGTGGTGACATCTTTCGGTCCAGCGGTCTGCGATCTGACTCTACATAAAGGTCATAAGTCAAGCCAGGACATTTAAAACTTGTATGTGGTCAAGATCCAAGTTATCCGCCGTGCAGTACGCTTACTACCTAAGATGATCACTGTTAGTTGCGTTCTCACTTTCCCTTTTTTTACAGTGGACTAGTGCTAGTGCGACCACTTTGATCAATGCATCTTCCATGGCGCCAGAAGCAGCAGGCATCAGAAGAGCAGACATCGCCCCCACCTTCTGAACAGCGTGGACTCGGAGTGCCCTGGTCTGCTACGAAAGACGCTTTCAAGACGCATCTGACCACCGCACAAGCAACCACGAAAAGCGCGCTTCAAGAGTACAACGCCAACGTCCAAAACCGCCTCAGGGCCAAAGCATATGAGCTCGGATCACGTCCCGCTGCATATCTTGTTTTATCCGGCATCTTCCTGGGCTCTGTTTCGACGCTTGGCGCGACATCCGTGTACAGGCGGTATTTTAGGCGTTTGAGGACAGCTGAGTGGGTCACACCTGATGTACTTCGGCGGAAGAGATGGGTGAGGGGTGTCGTGACGAGGTGAGTTGAGTTATAACGCTATGCAGGGTTTGGGTTTGGCTGATCTGTGATGGGTGCGCCAAGTGTAGGGGATGGAGATAATTTCAGGCTGTATCATACCCCTGGCTTTGGGTGGAGGTGGCCACTTAAATTCAGGAGGGTACCAACTTTGAGCAAAGGTTCGTTTGTATCCCTTATGTTCTCATGGGATATGTGCTCACTTACATGAATCAATAAGAGCTCAAAGAGCAAACGATCCACGTTCGTATTGCAGGTGTTGATGCACCCGAGGTGTGTTGGTTGTAGACGTAGGGCTCAAAAGAGTTCTGAACGAGGGCATTCTGACTGAAATGTTGCTCGATTGCGTGCAGGGATCACATTTTGGTCGCCAAGCCCAGCCATACGCTGCAGAAGCTCTCACGTGGTTGAAGGATACGATCGAGGGCAGGATAGTCTACTGTCAACTCGTTCGGCGTGACCAATATTCTCGTATTGTATGCGTTGACACTGCATCACATTCCACCAACTAACTGTCATCCACAAATAGGTATCTGTAGTTACTCTTCCGCCACCGTTTCTCCCAGGCTGGCTTGCCACGGGCCGGAGTCTTGCACTTGAGATGATCCGGGCAGGCACGGGCGTGACCTACGAACAAGCAGGTGCAGAGTATGGGAAGTATGGAAAGGATGGATTTCTAAGAGTTGAGGCTGAGTCGCGGTAAGTTGTGACACCGATTCACATTTACTTGTTCCACTTTTGTGGAAGACAACCTCACACCCATTGTGTCCTCTCCAGAGCTGCACGCCGAGGCATGTGGAAACACGGTACAGTGGAGGAAACCCCCGCACAGTATAAACGGCGTTACGCGCAGAGTGGGACGGATCCTGAGGCTCAGGCCCAAGGTACGGCGAAGGCGGAGCAAGAAAACTCGAAGGAGGGTGGGCTGAGAGGGATTTTGAAGAGACTTTGGCGCTGAAATAGTTAAATAGAGACCGGAAAATGTACAAGGTCACCGAAATAGCGCATATGCATATGGCGAGTGCCTGTTTACAAAAAAAACTACCACCACCAGTGGGATGATTAAGTTCATTCCCAGGCAGGGGCGCGCATACGTGAACGGCAAACTCTGCAAGCGAATTTGGATCCCGATTAGCTGTTAATGGATCCCGGTCGCGAGTGGTCTGGTCGCGTCCGATCACAGTGGCGCTTGCGAGCACTGCCGGTGACAGCATTTATATATATGGCAAGAGATTACTCGCTCCGCAGCAAGTTTAGTGTGCACTGGTCAAAAATTTTCCCGTATATAAAGTTCCCTGCCCCTCAAGTGACAGTCTACCAGTACTCTGCGCGACGCGAGTGATTACTAGTCTCAGTCCCTCTCTGACAAACTTAATAGTCTTGTTGTACTTGAATCTTCACCATGAAACTCACGTCCGCCCTTGTGCTTTCGTTCATCGCCACTGCGCAAGCAGCAACATCAATTTCTAGCCCAGTCCTGCCCAGCGGAATCCCAGCGTACGTGACTTTCTCATTTCCCTTCAAATTTCCCATTCAAAAATAAAAATACTCATGTTATAACCCACTTATAGAACAAGCGGCCTGCCTTTGAGCACCCTCTCTCTTGACACCACAGCTTTTACTTCGTTTCTTTCCTCCATCCTCTCATCCGGCACCATTCCCACTTCCCTTCCCACCACCCTTCCTACTTCCCTTCCTACCACCCTTCCTACTTCCCTCGGCACTCTTCCGACCGTAACGTCTCCTTCGTCCGGTGCATCTACATCAACTGCGACAAGTGCACCAGCTGCGACAACCTCTAGCGGTGCAGGACGAACAGAAGCGGGGCTGGGGTTGGGATTGGCTGCCGGAGCTGCTGCGGGCTTGCTTGCGTTGTTCTAATTAATGAGTACATTTTTGGTGGTAACGCATGTACGTATTCATGCGGGAAAATTACGTTCAGGAATAAAAGTCGAAAGGTCTCACGTGTGCTGCGGGGCCTATATCTACGATATTGAAATAGACTTTTAACGGATGCGCACCTCGGCAGCTGTGCAAGTTAGTTCTCCTGTGTCGAAATGGACTCGATCCTCGGCGTGTCAGCGCTTCAGCTTCAGCAACAACCTCCATGAAAAGAAGTTACCTTGTAATCCTCTGTCATCCAGAGCACTGGCCACAGTGCTGTCTTCCATGGACTCTATTTCAAATTTCAGCTCCCACCCGATACACCACAAGACACGAGCTTTCTGTATCTTTGCTGGTACTTACCTGTAGCAGACACAACTACAGATGTTGTTAGATACGCAGGTACTAAATACGAGAATGATACTGACCTCAGCGACGTACGGAGTCAACTGAGGGAAGCAGGCAAATGACGAAATTTGTAGGTACTTAGATAAGCAACCGGTACCGAGAGTCACGGTCCAACATAAAGTTCACTGCCCCTCAACTGCCCCTCAAGTGACAATCTACCAGTACACTGCACGACGCGAGTGAGTACTAGTCTCAATCCCTCTCTGACTCCTTAATAGCCTTGTTGTACTTGCATCTTCACCATGAAACTCACGTCCACCCTTGTGCTTTCGTTCATTGCCACTGCGCAAGCAGCAACATCACTTTCTAAGCCAGTCCTGCCCAGCGGAATTCCAGCGTACGTGACTTTCTCCTCATCCTCACTTCCCTTCAAATTTCCCATTCAAAAACAAAAACACTCATGTTATAACCCACTTATAGAACAAGCGGCCTGCCTTCGAGCACCCTCTCTCTAGACACCACATCTTTTACTTCGTTTATTTCCTCTATTCTCTCATCCGGCACTATCCCTGCTTCCCTTCCTACCACCATTCCTACTTCCCTTCCTACTTCCTTCGGCATTCCCACCGTAACGTCTCCTTCGTCTGGTGGATCTACATCAACTGCGACAAGTGCACCAGCTGCGACAACTTCCAGCGGTGCAGGACGAACAGAGGCGGGGATGGGGCTGGGATTGGCTGCCGGAGCTGCTGCGGGCTTGCTTGTGTTGTTCTAATTAATGAATACATTTTTGGTGGTGAAGCATGTACGTATTCATGCGGGAATATCACGTTCAGGGGTAAAAGTTGGAAGGTCTCACGTGTGCTGCAGCCTGCGAGGTAACGGAGAATCGGACCTATATTTCTTTATCCAACGATATTGCAATAGACTTTTATAATTAACGGACGCGCCTACATAGTTTCCTCGGGCTGTTTCCTGGCCAGCCGTGCAAGATAGTTCTCCTGTATCGAAAAGGTACAGTCTGAGCTTGTCAGACTCTGGCCCAGTTTTATTCCTCGACCCTCGGCGACAACCTGCACGAAAACAAGTTACCTTGCAATTCTCTGTCATCTATAAATCTAGCACTGGCCACAGCGCTGTCTTCCATGGACTTTATTTCAACTCTCAATCTCAACTACCCGATACACCACAAGACACGAGCTTTCTGTGTCTTCGCTGGTCCCAGAATTCCTACAAACTGCACTGACAGCGATATGTTAGTCAATATTATTATTGTGCGAGATTTTCAGCTACTGGGTGCCGGTCTTATCAAAGAACACCATGACGAAGTCCTGTGAGGGCGGCGGGAACAGATGATCAATAACGCATACGAGGCGAGCAGGCGTTTGGAACCACTCATGATCAAATAGCATTACGGATGCTAAGGCAAGAACAGAACACTCTCACTGTTATGGTCGAACCCGTCAGTTATTCAATCAAATTACTCTCTCGAAGACGCTTACTGGTGGCACGCTCGTGAAAACGAGAAGGACGTTCCTCCCTCCACTGTCGCCTCGCCTCATAAAAAACTCGCTGTATCGACCCACTGGCGATATGGCAGCTGCTGTGACAAAGGTACGGAATGGTTCCGAGAGAAAGAGTACCGTCAAGGCTAGCGGGGACGTGCCAGACGGTTCCCCCGAACGTATGCTTCTCGTGTGACAGACTGTCCTTCGCCAATCCCGGCCTCGAGAAGTGGAGATCAGAAATGTGGACCTATCCAGATCACATCGTACGCAAAACGCATCCTTCTTGTTCAGTAAAGCCGGATGCATGTTCTCGTCTTCGTCGTTTTTCCAAAAGAGGTTTTGCGCATCCACCATGACGCTGTCGATCAGACTATTACGGATCTGACAGCATTTCATTCGATGGGGGAACCTTTTACATACTAAGGGAGCCTTAGGTGGTTATGTAGCCCATGTGATTGGGATAGACGAGTGCGCAACTGATAACATATTTGTTGAAGCGTTGAATAATATATGTAGATCACATACATTAGCCTCTCGCAGTGCATCATCAAAAACGCGGGAGTATCTGACGAGCACCTTTGATCTTTGGAGCAGGTTGCGGTATAGCATCAACCTGGGAAGCAGATCCATTGTAAGTATCATTTGAAAATGATATGTATCTGAGCTTACAATATCTGATGGAAGGCCGGCTTCTTTGACGATAGCAGAAAAACCTCATGTGTAAATGTGGCCGTCGGCGCAGCTGGTGACGAGGAACTTTCCATCTACAGAAAAGGTCGCAGAGATTATGTTGTATTCAGAGTGTTTCAATGCGTTGACTGGTTTCGGGGCTCCATAGTTGGAGCTAGGTCTTGTCGAAGCATGATGTGCCTGTGAGCCTGATGCGCAAGTAGTACTCGGAGATAGTAAATGGTATTGATGAGGTTTTTCGCTCAATTCAAGAACAGCCGTCCACGAGCTCGAGGCTGTATCGAATTTCCTAAAGAATATCCCCCCGGCGAAAGTGTTTTGCTATCCGAGGTTCATGCCAGGCATAGAAAAGTAACCCTCAAGTGTTTTGAGCGCCTGTGTGACGCGGCCTATGTGACGCGGCACTGTGACAAATACATCATGTCACTCGAACTGAATTCCAACGTTAATGACCAGATGCATATGAGTGTCTACCTGCGTACGCGGGCCCTAGCAAACCGCGTTGGTTGGTTTATTTCCCCGTGTTGATTGGTCTCGGGATATTTCCTGCGCTTTGGACATCCCACGCTGTGAATATTCCTTGTCAGGTTCTGCTCACCACTCGCCTTCCGTATGGAGTCCAGCACACCATTCCTCCCCGACATTTGTGCTCCTCTCCAAGTCCCAGACCCGAAATGACCCATTCCATTCACAGATGATATTTCGCTGTCCATTGGGCAGGTGTAAGATGTAGGTGATGCCGTCATTCACTCTTTCGGTAGGGCATTGTCGCTAAATTCTCGTGCTTTGCAGGCGCTGGATACCCCATGATTTTTTGTTTCGGAATTCCCATTGGGCAGCCACGAGGCCTTTTATGGCGACAACTAGCCAAGGAACAGAATTATCTTCTCGATCTAGTTGATGCGCATAGATCGTTTGAAAGACATGTACAACCTCGACATCCGTTATTTGAAAGGCAATCTTACTAGGAGCTACAAGTTCTTATATCACCAATTAGAGAATGCATCGTGCTCCATTATGGGCGTGCCACCCGCTGCTCCAGCCACCTACACCCAACTTTCTTCCCCGATAAAATAAAGGAGGGAATTACGATGGCAATAAACACAAGTGGAATTAAACCTAGACCAGAAGGCTACGCAAGAGAGGAAGTTTGATCCTATGTACTTGTCTTTATCCTATGCATAGTGACAATCTTCATTCAAATATAATTGAGATATCTATCTGCATCATACACCATCTCTCGAGTACTCAGTCTCGACCCCTCTTCGTCCCCAGTATGCATGCACGAGGTCTGAATGATGACGTGCTCGGGGGTGAGGCTGCAGAAGCGTTGGTAGATGGATAGAGTTGACTGCTTGGCGGAAACGTGGTGTTTAATGCATGAGGATATGTCAGGTTCGAAGGTAACAATATGATCATGCCGCTGGCTCCCACACTTGGCGGCGTCCAATGTTTATACCACCCAGCGAGAGGCTGGGACCCGACGCTAGAGGGCATACGAGCATCATGTTTGACCTTGGGATGTTGTGACCCGATATTAAAGGGAGTGTAAGCATAATGCCGCCCCGCAGGAGGCTGGAACCCGACACTAGAGGACATCCGAGCATCATGCTGGACCGCGGGATGCTGTAGCCCGACATCAGAGGGAGCCCAAGTATAATGCTGC